ACCTCCTGAAGCGGTTTTAACGATAACATCTTTATCCGAAAGTTTTGATAAAATGTCTTTTCTAACTGTTTCTTTAAGTTCATCATTGTACGATTTATTGATATCAACATCTATAATCGTTAAATTTGATATTTTATTTACTAATAAAGCCATACCAGTTTTCCTTCCTCTTCCTCCATCATGTTTGAGGTAGTTATGTAAATCAATCCTGTTTTCACCAATTCTTTCGTTGAGGGTTTTAGTTTCTGCCACAACTAATTCCTCAGCTAATGAATCAATAACTTTTTCATCAGAAACGATATAGTTGCTGTTGTTGTTTGTTGCTGTCATTTATATAGGAATAAAAAAATAAAAATAATTTTAAAACTAACTTTATTTTTGGGCTGCATCATATTTCCTGAACTGTTGTCAAAATGTCATGTTGTCACACTTTTTCAGAGAAGTTAAATGACCTGGTAGCACATGGTAACATGGTAGCACCTTCAGTTCTTCAAAAATAATTCATAACTACCTTCCTCCTGAACTGTTGTCAAAATGTCATGTTGTCTCATTTTTTCAGAGAAGTTAAATGACCTGGTAGCACATGGTAACATGGTAGCACCTTCAGTTCTTCAAAAATAATTCATAACTACCTTCCTCCTGTGTTGTTGTCAAAATGTCATGTTGTCACACTTTTTCAGAGAAGTTAAATGACCTGGTAGCACATGGTAACATGGTAGCACCTTCAGTTGTGCAAGAAACTCACGTAAAGGCTGTAAAGTTTGTACTTCAATATTGAACTTTTTCTCGAACATCTCATTAAATGAAATCATACATTGCAACAATGTTGTATCGTCTTTAAAGTATTTGTATATGTGAATGTTTTGGGCGCTTAAAGACTGTTCGTCATTTTCTATCTCGACTTGAAGTATAAAGTCAACCTTTCTGAAAGCACGTGTTATATACATAGATGTTATGCCAATGTACTTCTCTTCATTTATGTTCACAATCCAGTCTGTTGGAAACTTAAACGTTACTCTGTTCCCCTTTATTTTGACGTCAGGGTTTTCACTACTGAACGCAACAGATAAAGGTATTTGTCTATACATTTAATTCGGATAAAAATAAACCATTTACTCTTTCTTTGCTTCAGCTTCCTTTGCTTTTTGTTCTTCCTTTGCTTTTGCTTCTTCTCTAGCTTTTTTTCGCCAGCAAAACGTGGGTTCTTCTGTCTTCCAGCAGCTAATGCAGCTAGTTGTTTTTCACTAAGTTTTCTTCTTTGGTCTCTCTGGCTTTTGTTCTTGTTTTGTTCCTTCAGTTCGGATAAAATTGTTCACGAATTTCTTTCTCAATGCTTCAACATCTATGACCCCTTGGTCTTGTCCGTAGGATTTGACTGAGTCATTTGACTGTAGATAAAAAACTAAATTAAAACTTTAACCGATGTAAAATGAGCTTGTCAAAATCAGAACGAGAGTCTATTATATTAAATGACGCAGAGGAATACAACATCCTTTCTATTATGTAAGTCAGAGTAAAGATGGTAAAATATATGTAAGAAAAGAAAGGTTCCATTAGCGAATACAGAGAGGAAACATTAAGGTGCATGGCAAGGGTGAAGTCCACGAAGCCATTAAAACCTTCTGTACAAACTGAGCCACCAAAAGAACAAGAAGAAAAGAAGCCAGATGTACTTTCAATAACGAACCAAGAGCTTATTGCAAAGTTCGTGAATTTCATTGAAAAGCAAACCGAGTCAAAGAACCCTGACCACCAGTGAAAGAAGTCGAGAAAAAGAGAATGTACAGTTCATTGAAAATGTCAAGAAAAAACTTCCACACGAATACCAAGAAGAAGAGTGAGAATAATGAAGTAAATAGATATTTTTATCTGAAGTAAATACATGCAGAACGAACAGTTAAACGAATTTACTCAGCAGAGCATATTCATCAGATTCGCTCATATTTCGATATCATAGACAATGCAGTTCAAATTGGTGACACTAATAGAAATATTCTGACGCAAAGATTCCATCACAACCTGGAACTGCTAAAGATAACCATGGGTAACATTCAATCTCTCACCTCCTGGTGAAATATGTTGGACCTTTACAATACATTCATTACGTATAAAATGGAAGGTCAATTTATTGTAGATAAAGAAATTGGTTCAGGTTCCAATAAAACAAACCCACCAGGATTTTGGATTGGTTTCGATGACGCTTTCTATGCAGTTGCTGGATATCAAATCCTTGCAAATGGTCGTATCGTATATTCTCAAGACAACGCAAGAGAAGAAGCATATATAACTTCAAACTCACAAACTACCGAACAAATAAAGAAAGTAGATGTTTCTCAAGATCGACATGAAGATGTATGGAGTCATTCGGGAACATGCAGAACAGGACAAATTGTTAGTGGTCCAATTACAGCAGGAAAATCATTTGATTTTAAGCTTCGTTTAAGAATTCCTGTTAGAGATTCCTTCCATTAGAAGCTATTCGATTTATTCCAGCTTTTGCAGGAAACATTCAGCTTAAAGTAAAGTTCAGTAGCGACGCCTTACAATGCACATCTATATCTGTAAATGATATCATTGCTTTCAATCCAACTCTTAAAGTTGCATTTGCTTCAGATTCAAATCCACCGACAAATAAATTTGTTCCATGGAATGAACATTCACTATGATAACGAAGGCAGTAGAAGCTAGTGGAACAGTTACTATTACAACTGTAACCCAGCAACTATTTCGAACAAAGATGGATTTTAATGAATGTTTCATTCATCCAAAGTCATTCTCTTTAGACCCTAACATTTATACAGAACTTGTAGAACATTATACAAACGAGGCTTTATGTTTTCCTGTTAAAGTTATGGATTGGATTCCTATGGATGGTTCATTCTCAAAGAATACAGATAGTTCAAGTGCAACATTTACAAGCTTATACGCCTATTAATGTTAAAAGTATTTGGGCACTATTTAGAAAGAAAGACAACTATTATGTTAATTTGAGAACCCTAAGTTTAATATCTTCAGCTTTCCATGGGAGCTTATGGAAATATGCCTGCAGAACTGAAAAATCATATGGACCTGTATTTTATGAAATGGTTGCGAACGCCTGCAATACAAACAATGATATGATAGGATTTAATGAAGATGTTATGAGGTCATTGGTGGATGATGGTAGTGTGGAACATAAATGGGATAGCTATGACAACACACATTTCTTATGTGGTTTTCCAACAGAAGTGGACTTTTGCTTCCAGCAAGGTCAAACATCTACTGCTCCAATAACATACAAATTGTCTGTTAAAGGACCTATTGAACTAGCAACAGAAAATGTACCAAAGCCACTTATTGGATTTATGAGGGATTGTTGCTTTGCAATACAAGTAAGACAGTCAGGCATACCAATAATAAGACTTGACGACTATACTTAGCAGCGGACGACAGTGAGGAATAAAGGATGAACGTTTATTTTTAAAGCTTATAAATGAGTTCTTCATCAAGCTCTCGCGAACCTTCACATCTATGAAACAAACTTTACTAAACGATTATGGAGCACCTATTGAATATTTCTTACGAGCTGCAACAATGGCAAGAGCAGTCTCACCAAGGTTAGGTGTTCCACCAGTCCTGTCAAAAATAGCATTTGGTCAAGTCCTTATATAAGATATGGTCTCCCACTAGGTTTGCTAGCTACAGCAGGAGCAGTAATGATGTTTGAAAAAGAAACAAAGCAAATGTTATAAATAATACTGAAGTAGCTGAAGTTAAACAAACTCCGACACCATCGCCAAAACCAACGTCAAAACCAACGCCTTCACAAACAACACCTTCAATGACTCCTGAACCTATGAAAGTACAAACTCCTGTTCAAAAGTCAACTCCAAAACCGACTCCAACATTTAAACCAGAACCTACTCCTCAAATAAATCGTAAAACTCCTGCGTTTCCTTACTGAAAATAATGTTAGTTTTATTTTATTTGAACATTTTATTTAGAGTAAATGACGACTAAAGTCACTGAAGCAATGAAACAAAAATTTTTGGTAGAATACATTAAATCAGGAGCGGTTCCAGAAGGTTTTTACGTTCATACTATGAAGGATGGTAGAGTTCAGTTTAGAGAAAGATAAAGCAACCATTAGATAAAGAAGGAATTTTGAGAAAGATTAAACTTCATGAGGACAACATTGCTGAACTTAAGAAGAAGTTAGAAGAGTTGGAGAAAGGAAGAGAGTTATAAAGTAATGAATTCAAGTGGTGAAAAAAGAGGTGAAAAAAGAGGTGACATCTCACCACTTCACCTAAATTTATTTTTGTGCTATGTTTCATACGTGTGAGGGTGGTGATATCATAATTTTTAAGTTACTGAAATTTTTTATTTTGGATGTAAATGACAGAACAAAACAACTCATTCGAATTCCACAGTATAAAAACATACATTTAAACATTTATTCTTCCTTCCTGAGCATAACATGTTCTTTCAAATACATCCGAGACCAGTTGACTTTTCATTGACTGTGTATAAAGATAGAAATAGTTATATCATTAAACCATACGATGACGAAGGTAAGTTATGTAAATTGTACGTTAAGAAGTTAGAGAAAGTTTATGGCTTCAAGTATGACTACAATAGGGTTAACACTGATGATGAAGATATTGAGGAAAATTTATGAGAACATTAGTGAAGTTGTTAGTGAGAACGATAGTGAGAACGTTTATTTTTACATTAGTGAGTTCGTTAGTGAAGTGGTTGGCGGCTTTGTAAATATTTAAGGTTAAGTTAGTGTTGTCGTTTGTGTTGTAAAATATACGTTAACGGTTTTGTAAAGTGTCAAATTCACAAGTATTGCGTACGGAGGAACGCAGTGCCACAGTACCCAACATAACCATACTAACTATGGTATAAATGAAGTTTTCGTTACTGATGGTCAAGGTAATATTAAAGTCATAAATGGTTATAAATTAACTATATCTGATTATCCTAAACGTAAAGCATATAATGAACGTTATCCTATGCAATTTGATGAAAATGGAAAAGCTGTTAAACAATACATTGGAGAAGGTGAAAATGGTCCAATGAATTCATACCGTCATAATCCATATTCTTATTTCAATGAAGAATTAAATGCTATTGAAGAGGGACCGGATGGATTACCACGATATTCTAACCAGTTTGATGGTCAATATGCAAATATTAGACCTGAAATTTCAGCTAAGAAATTCTTTAAAGTTGCTTTATTCGATCCAGTTTTCGCAAATGTTAAAGATGAACTTAAACAGCAATTCCAACCAATTATAGTAGCAAGAATTGCATCAGGTGCTTTATCTCAAGCATTCAAAGATTTAATTAAGAAACCATTATATCAGCAACGGGGTTTAACTTATGATTTAGTTAAGGAATCAGATAAAAGAAAATTTGAGAAATCAGATGATTATAAGAATGCAATTAATGAATATATTCGGTCTATTAATTTCGATGAAACAGCTAAAAATCAACTTCATGAACAAATACAGGGAATAATAGATTCAAAAGTTCCAGCAAAATAAAAGTTTAAATATATTTTTTTTATTCGAATATAAATGAGAAGACGTTTCACTAGTCAAAAGAACACTAACGCAAAAGCAGAGATTACGGTTGGTTATAACGTAAATGATGATAAATCACGAATTATTCAAAATGTTAAAGTTAATGTTAGCCCCGAATTAACAAGGTCAGCAACTCAACCAAATTTATTAACTCGTGACTTACCGAAGAATGAGGAGAATGAAGAAAACCATGAGAATGGAGACCCATTCATTTTATCTGAACCCGGTAAAGAACCCGTTGAAATTCCCACTTATCCAACATACCCCCACCTCTTTCATCAAACATCGAGAACCCATATAAAAGACATTAATTCTGAATTAATGAAAATTTACCGTGATATAATAATTAATAATTATGATTCAATAATAAATTTAATTGATCAATCTGGTTTAATTATTTTACCTTATGAATCATTAATTCACATTATCGCCATTCTTTGTGATGTTCAAGATTCAGACGTTAAGATTCAATTTTTCATAGATGATGAGGTTTCATGCTGCGGAACAGTTGCAAAAATAAATCCTATAAAGGATATTAGCACAATTAAGATAACAAAGAACGGAACAACAACTGAACTTCATTTAACATATAATGATATTTATAATAAAATAGTTGATGAATATAAAATATCACTTGAAAAATTCTTTGTTAAGGCTATTTAATATTCAAGCATTAACATTATCGAATAATAATCCTTTGAATCATAATCAATAATAATTGACCTTTCACCAGTTTCTATCGTTTGTTTTATTTCTTTTTGTTCCCCACTATCCGGATCGGTCATTGTAATTGTTTTTGTTATAGTATCAGCTTTATCTTTAACTTCAATCTTTTTTCCATCAGGATATTTAAACCAAAATTCCAAAAATTCGATATTGTCAATCTGTTCATATTTTAATCTATCAATTACATTTTTAATACCATCTGAAAATCTTATGAAATGGTCATTATATGGGTTTGATTGAACTAAATTTGAATGAAGTGAAATATAACCTGTTGATGAATATGACACTGACTCATATTTTCTGAAAACACTAAAATTTATAACATGAATGAATTTCTTATTCGTTGAATTTATGAATTCTTGAGGTAATCTTATTCTAGTTTTATTTATCACTGGAAAATAACGCTTTACCATATTTTTATTCGTAATAAAAAATGTCAATTATCAATATTATTTCGAATAATAACTGTGAATTAAATTTAACAGTTAGCGGAATTTATAATGTTACTCTCGTTTCTGTGAGTGGTAAATTTAATCCCATTCTTTTAGACCCTTCAGATTATATATCATTTATTAAAGATGACCATGAAAAAACGTATGATATGTATATAAACAATGTGATAGCGAAATGGGATATTAACACGATTTTAAGTTATTTAAATGAATCATTTATCGTATGGTATGAAGAAAATTTTAAATCAAAACCTGATAAACTTTTTGAACTTGATGAAATAAATAACCTTATTAAATTTCCGCTGAAAATTAAATTTTGTACTCCGCATCTTCGTTCATTGTTGGGGATATTAAATTTTGAAAAAGATGTTGGGGATGTTTTGTATTCTGACACTGGTTCCAATTTCATTTTAATCAAATGTGATAAAGTTAATACCCCAATGAGATTTTCACATCAAACATTAGACCCTAACTCTTACCCATCAATACAAAACATTTTATCCATCAACTTAAACATATTTTCTTTATCATATCCGTTTCAATTATCCGGGAATTCATTTATTCTTCATTCAAAAGATTTATCAAATATTAAATTTAGAATAACTGACCTATTTGATTGTGATTTAGAATTTATGAATGAAATATTATGGCAATTTCAAATAGAAAAAATAGCTGATGAGATAACGGATTAAATATTTATTTTTAAATCATAATAAATGATTAAACAACAGCAACCACAACAACTTAAGGCGCAAAGCGCCCAGGTCCTTCAGACCATTACATACGCCATATATGCATATAATTCAAAGACGGCAGAACAAACGCAAAGGTTGAAATATGGAGATTTGGAGATAGTATTGAAAAATGACCATTTCGAATTCGTTTGCAAAGGTGGTGCAGTGATATCAAATATAAAAGAAATTTTATTTATGAATTCAAAAATTAAAGGAATAACGGATGATATAACATCAATTCCACCAGAAGAACAGAGATATTACGCATTAAATGCATTTCCTAAAGTTTTGAAGATTGGAAGATTTAATTTAAATGAGGAATTCATAGAAGGTTTCCTAAACGACATAATGAAGAAGGTGGATAAGGAATATGTGGATAGTGAGTTAAATAAGAAGGTAGATAAGGAATATGTGGATAGTGAGTTAAATAAGAAGGCAAATTTGGTTTATGTTGATGAAAAAGATAATGAAATTAAAGAAAAGGTTGAATGGTATCATGAATGGACATTTGAGACTTTTAAAGTTAAAGCTGATACAGGATGGGTTTCAGGATGTTTAGACCTTAAAGCAGATAAAACTTATGTTAACGATGAGTTAGAGAAGAAGGCGGATAAGGAAAAAGTTATTTCATTCATTAATACTGAGTTAGCAAAGAAAGCTGATATATCATTTGTGTCATAAGACGAAATGGTGGAAGTGAGGTGAAGTCAAAAAGTGACATATATTTGGCCGGCTAAATTCCCCTTTAGTTTACATGTCAAAATTACAATAAATTAATTATTTTGCTTAGCAATTAGCTATGTATTAAAACTAAAATTATTACTATTCAATTCTTTACATTCAAATATTAAACAATTCAAATTTAATAACAAAGATATTACAATAAATAAAAAAAATGATTAAAAATGTCCCTGAAAATTTTCTGAAAGCTATCTCGTGTTTAGGTCTCAATTTTTTTTAGAAATAGAAAAAGATTGGATTTAACTTTCAAACATTATATATAGTTTTGTATATGGAAGCCTTTAAATACAAGTTAATGATATGGAGTTGTATTGCGAGGAAGAGGGAATCAAAGAAATTGACGAAGTTCCAGAATTTTATTCAACAATTCTTAATCAATTAACAAAAACTATACCGAAACTTATCTTACCATCCAAATCAAATCACATTGCATACGGAATAAACATTTAATCTTTTACCATTAAAATTATATTTATACGTTATTTAATTTTTTTACGTCTAAGTTGAATAGGATAATAGCCGAAGATATAAAGTAACTATAGTTTACAAGCTAAGGAACAAATCAGCATTGAAACTAAAAAATGCTGAAATATTATAATAAATTGAAGAAATACTGTGATAGAATACCTAGTTATACTAGATACTATTATAATATGAACTCATTTGTATTGAATATCGATAATAAAAAATCGATGAAATATTAAAATGAGAATAAATTAATAATGAGATTATAAATTAGAATTATTTCTCTTTTATTTAAAATAAAAACTTAGTTCTATTTAAATTCGATAAAGAAGTACGAAAAAGTTGTATTATACGTATGATGTTGCCCGATGTTTGGTAACACTATTGTAGAATATAAGCATATATGATAGAAAAGCAATATGCTTAATATCGAGTAATTCTAATTTTTTACGAAATTATTCAAATACGTTATTTTTTAAAATGAAAAGATAAGCATACCATTATGCAGTAGTTTGCGCACATATACTATGCTGATGAAAGTTGGTCTCTAATTCGAAACTTGAGTCTGTCAAATTGACGTTCCATCTTATTTTAATCGATATTCAATACAAATGAATTCATATTATAATAGTATCTAGTATAACTAGGTATTCTATCACAGTATTTCTTCAATTTATTATAATATTTCAGCATTTTTTAGTTTCAATGCTGATTTGTTCCTTAGCTTGTAAACTATAGTTACTTTATATCTTCGGCTATTATCCTATTCAACTTAGACGTAAAAAAATTAAATAACGTATAAATATAATTTTAATGGTAAAAGATTAAATGTTTATTCCGTATGCAATGTGATTTGATTTGGATGGTAAGATAAGTTTCGGTATAGTTTTTGTTAATTGATTAAGAATTGTTGAATAAAATTCTGGAACTTCGTCAATTTCTTTGATTCCTTCTTGAAGCGTTGAAATTTCTTATTGACTCTCTTTTTATAACTTTTGAAAGAAACCGTAAAAATTGTGAAACATGCTTTTTAATAAAAACAATTTTGATGAAAACCATAAATTAATTTAAAATTGAAATAAATTTTTGAAATCTATGATATTGAATAAAAAAATTTATAGTGTAGATATTGATATAGATATAGATGTTAATTTTAATATGATATTTGATAAAATTTTTTTTATCAAAACATACTGATAATAGGTTGACATGTAATATGATATTTTGCCTTGTAAATATATTTGGTCGGCAAAATAACCTAATTACTCTTATTTTGAGTTCACTTCCACCATTTCGTCTTATGATAATTTGTTAATGAAGAAATAAAACAATCAGAGGTCTATTTTACTCCACCATTTTTAAATTTTATGAAATCATCAGATAAAACCTTTGATATAGATTCTTTTGAATGGATATGTTTCGATGGAGTGACCATGTATTTATTTTATACAGCTGGAGTGCTTTATTATTTTAAAACAAATGATTTTAAAAACTATGAATCATTGACTCCATCTGTTTTGAATCCTGATACACGAAAGCCAATCATTAATCCAAGAATTTTATATGTTGAATATAATAACGGTAAATTTATGGGAATGATAACGGTTGGAGATGATTTTTACCCTTGTTATTCATTCGATTGTATCCAATGGTTCAAATGTAATTTAAATCAAGATGCTAAATTTAAATATCCAAATAATCCTATTAGATGTGTTAATAATAAATGGGTACTAATTTATGAAGTCAATCAAATTTTCATTAGTGAGGATGGGATAAATTATTATATGTTTAGTATGATGTCATCAGATTTGGAAATTGATTATACAAGTAAGTGGTATTACATTAACAACATGTATTTTATCCTACAAAATGATAAAATTTATAGATCATCTTCAATACCACAAGGTCAATTTGAACAAATTTTTCAAGCTGATGGAGACATTGAAGCTTTATGTTATGGATCAAATGTTTATGTTCTCGTTTCAGGTGAAATGGTCTATTCATATCCTGTAAGTTATAACAGACATATTTATTTATCACAGGATTTATCAAATTGGGAATTGGTTTATTCATTCACTCCAAAACTTACTCGAAATTATAGATTTACAAATTTATTTTATATTGATGGGTATTTCATTGCTTTAGGATGTGGTGATTTAGTAAACATCAGTAGTGATGGAAGAAACTGGTCTGAAATCACAAAATTTCAAGATGTTAGAAAAGCAATTTTCAAAAATAATACGTTAATATTGATAACAAGACCAGTTTTAAATACTCACCCAAATTCAATATTATATAATAAATTCAATATTCATAATGGATTAAATACAATTCTTGAGATGATTTACCCCATTGGTTCTTTATATACGTCAATGAACTCAACAAATCCAGAAACAGTTTTAGGTTTTGGTACTTGGGAACAGATTGTAGATAAATTCTTATACTGTGCTAGATATTCAAAGCAAACGGGAGGTTCGAAGAAAATTACTGAAGCAAACCTTCCACCGCACACTCATACAGGAACTACAAACACAACAGGTAATCATTCACATTCAATAACAAAAAGAGGTTATAGAAATCTTGCAGCAGGTTCGGATAGACAGGGAATGGATAGATATGATATTTCAAGCGACCCAGTAGATTCAAGCGCAGGTATTTTCTGTGGAACCACAGGAAATCATTCACACACTTTCACAACAAATCCAACAGGCTCGGGTGAAGATTATATGCCACCATTTATGACTGTATTCGCATGGTATAGAGTTCAATGAACGCTCAATGTTTGTGAAACAAACTTTAGAACGGACTGAAAGTCCTGAGCTCCAAAAGAGCGAACGGCATAATTTAAATTTTTATTTTAGTATAAATGAAGATTCTACCATATGGTGTTATTGGAAGAGATAAAGATGGAAACCCAATATTTGATCCAAAGTTAAAATTAAAGTTACTGACAAGACAACAACTTGAAAAGTTGCTGAAACCAAAACAGGATGAAAAATGAGAAAATGAGAAAGAAAAAAATTTAAATTATGCAATTTTATTTTTATCATAAATGACAAAATTAATTAAGCCAACTATTTCTAAATTAATGATACCAATGAAATCATTTCATGGAGTACTTATCCCAGGTTCTTCACAATTAGCCGGGGCAAGTGTTGTGACTCAAGGTGGAACATTAGCGAATCCATTCAAATTATTAACTAAAGATGAACTTAATAAAATGATGATAAAATAACTGATAACAAAATTTTATTTCACTGCTACCATGTTACCATGTGCTACCAGGTTAATTAACTTCTCTTAAAAATGATGACAACATGACATTTTGACAACAGTTCAGGAGGAAGGTATTTATGAATTATTTTTATTTTTTTTATTTTGTATGTAAGAACAGAAATGTCAGTCGAAGCACAAACGTTCACGAACAAATCTAATGGCGAAACATTCACAAAAGGCACTTATAATGGTATTGAAGTCTTACGTAGAGACAAGGATGGTTACATTAATGCAACAAAGATGTGTCAGCAGTTTAGGAAAGACTTTAGAAAGTTGTTGGAAAATAAGTCCTGGGAAGAGTATTATAAGGCGTTTTGTGAAGAATATAGCAACCGCCGGAATTCGGACTGTTGCTTTTTATACAAAATTCATGCCGGAATTCCTGATGAAATCAAACAGGTTAGAGGAACGTATGTAGACCCAAGACTTATAAACTATATAGCAATGTGGGCTTCTCCAAAATATTGCATAGCAGTTGGAAAAATTATGGACTCCATAGACAAGAAAGTTCATGAGAAGTTGGATGAAGAAGAACTCGAAGATACAGTAGAAAATGCAAAACATTTGTTTGAAGAAGAAGTTAGAAAAATGCATGAAAAACAATTAGAACATGAACGTGAGATATGTTATGGTTATAGAGATTCTCCATACGAACTAGACCAATGGGAACAAGAAGATTTAAAGAGAGAATTTAGAGAATATGAACTCGCTAAGATAGCATTAGAAGCTGCAGAAAAGAAGTTAAAAGTTTGGGGTTGTTTTGTACAAAAATATTGTGAGTAAATGAACCATTTATTTTTGGTCAAAGCTTCCACGAGAGAAAAGATTCCTCATTCGCTAAGGATTCCAAAAATGAAAAAATCATTGATTTCGGCTGAGAAAAAACAGCAAAACCCTTCTTCCACGGGAACAAAGAAATAAAGAAGAAATAAAGAAGAAATAAAGTAAATTTTTTATTTATTCCCGTGGAAGATAGAGCACTTTTATGACACTTTTTATTCACGACAAACAAGACAAACAAAAAAATCAGAAAATACGGCGCTGTCGCGGTTCGAACCACAGACCCTGACCCCTCCATAACACCACCTTAGACCACTGTGCTACGTAGCCTGTCGACATAAGATTTTATAAATTGCATATTTGACGTAAATTTATTTCCCAGTTATTCAATAATTAATTATTTTTGAAGAACTGAAGGT